TGTCCCTGTCCCACCCCAAACACTGGGTGAGTCCCCCTGGGCTGGGATTGTCCCTGTCCCACTCCAAACACTGGGTGAGTCCCCCGGGGCTGGGACTGTCCCTGTCCCACCTCAGACACAGGTCTGGGACTGTCCCTGTCCCACTCAAACACTGTCCCTGTCCCACCCCAGACACCCAGTAAGTCCCCTGGGCTGGGACTGTCCCTGCCCCACCTCAGACACCCAGTGAGTCCCCCTGGGATTGTCCCTGTCCCACTCCAAACACTGGGTGAATCCCCCTGGGCTGGAACTGTCCCTGTCCCACCTCAAACACTGTCCCTGTCCCACCCCAGACACCCAGTGAGTCCCCTGGGCTGGGACTGTCCCTGTCCCACCTCAAACACCCAGTGAGTCCCCCCTGGGCTGGCACTCTGAGCAGCCTGGAGGGTGCCCAGCTGATCCCATTATCCCTGTTTTCCAGCCTAGAGCCACCCCAGGCCCCAAGCAGGACTCTCCTGAGGAGGAGCAGCGCAGTGCCAGGGCATAGAGAGGTGGATGTGGCGCTTCCAGAGGCTCCTGCCTGCAGCAAATGGCATTTTTTGGGGATTGATCAACCCAAGGGGAGCAATGGCTGGAGACCACCAAGGCCAGACCCCCCCCAACAGCCACGTGCCTCTTGCTGATTAACTCATCTGCTAATTACGATGGGTTGGGGTTGTGTTGGTAACAATCTCCTGTTGCAGGATGACCTGTAAAGTGATTTCTTCTGGGATTTCCCCCTGGAGCCGGGGTGAGGAGCTGCTGCAGCCCCCAGGAAGGGCTCTGGTGCTTTCCCTGGCTGCTCCAGGCTGGATTTGTTCCCTCTCTCCAGAGCAAACTTGCTCCTCTCCAACCTCCTTCTCGGATCCACTCCAGCCACTCAGATCCTCACTAATTAATCAGGAAGAAATTCTTCCCTGTGAGGGTGGGGAGGCCCTGGCACAGGTTTCCCAGGGAAGCTGTGGCTGCCCCATCCCTGGAAGTGTTCAAGGCCAGGTTGGAACAACCTGGGCCAGTGGAAGGTGTCCCTGCCCGTGGCAGGGGGTGGCACTGGATGAGCTTTGTCCTTCCACTCCAAAGCATTCCATGATTCATTTTGCCAGCTTGGCAGAGGGAGGATGCCCCTCTGCAGCTCCTCATTCCTTCCCCTCCTGCTTTTTGTCTTGCAGCTCAAGGATGGAATCACTCCACTCCCCCACCCTCTGCTCCTGTTCCCCCCATTCCCCCCTTTCCCCCCCCCTTTGGCTGTGGGGGCTGGATCCTCCCAGCTGGGATATAAATAGGGGTGTGATCACACCAGTCTGCTCTGCCGAGCCTGGGAGGCGGCTGGGGGGGGGAGTTGGAGGCAAATTTTGGCAGGTTTGGACCATCCCATCCCTCTTCTCCCAGCCCTGGGCGAGCTGGACACTCCCTGCATCACCCAGGAGCTGAATTCTTTCCAGTATCAATGAAAACTGCCTAAATGGGATGTTTTTTTCCTCAGTTTTCAAGCTGTGCCTTAGGCTCTGCTCTCGTGCCTCCTTGTGTCACACCCCTGGAGGGACACAATCCCTCCTTCCCCAGCAGCAGGAGCCAGCTGGGGAATGATAATTTAAAAAAAAAAAAAAACAACAAAACCCAGATAATTTTGGCTCCTCTCTGGCAACTCAGGGACACCACAGAGCAGAGGGAGCACCCCACTGTCCCCACAACGACCCCGAGGGACCTGTGTGATCAGCATCGATTTATTTCTTCACAACATTTCTTTTTAATACAGTGATTTTTAGGAAATTGTACCCTTTTTTTTTGTGTTTTTTTGTTTTTTGACACTTTTGACATTTGTACAGTACAGTGTAACTCTTCCATAAGTAAACTTCACAAAAAAGAGGGGGGGGAGAGGCTGGGAAAGGGGAGAGAGGGAGGAAGATGGAATCATGGAGGGTGGGGGGAAGAGGGGAGGGGGAAAAAAAAACTGTGAAATAAAAGACACGGCGCTCCAAGAAAAAATAAATAAAGGGCAGCTCTTGTCATTGCTACGGGAATATCCACTTATTCACAGTCTCCACAGAAGCACAGTACTACAGGAACACGAGATTCCCAAATCCCTGGAGCAAACCAGCAACACTCTGCTCAACCCTCCCCCCTAAAACCCCGGGGCTGATTCGCTCCAGGTCGCTTGGCCTCGCTGATGTTACTTAATGAACTCATTTTCCTTTTAAATCTTTTTAAATAATAAGAGATTTCGTTTTGTTTTTCGTCGGTTTTGTTTTGTTTTTTTTTTTTAAAGTGATATTCACAAGCAAGGTTACCACACCAAAAAAAAAAAAAAAGGAGAAAAAAAAAAAAGAGAGGGAAAAAAATCAAAATATATATATATATATATATAAATGCACCACCACGGCCACAGCACAGCAGGTCACAGCGTCACTTCCTACGCCTATTTACAAGGAATCTCTGTATGTACAAGGAGGAAGACGGTGGGAGCATAAATTAGCATCTATTTATACAAATAAACAAGAGTCAGGAAATATCCATCCAGCTGGAGGGGGCAGGAAAAGCCGGGAACAAAGAGCTCATCCCCTTCCGGGAGCTCTTGGGGAGGGGGGGGAAAGAGGGGAGCAATGCCAGGCTGGGGAGGGAGGG